CTGTAGCCCTCCAGCCTCCTCTGTCCATGGAATTCTCCAGGCAAGAACACTGGAGTGGGTTGCTATTTCCTCCTCCAGGGGATCTTCCCAACCTAAGGTTTGAACTCATGTCTCTTGTGTCTCCTGCATTGGCAGGAGGGTTTTTTTTTTTTTAACCACTGGCACTACCTGGGAAGCCTTGTGTCTGCTATTATGACCCCCTCTTATGATGGTCTACAGAGAGGGACTTGAGCTTACCCAAGGCCACACAGCTAGTCAGAGCCAAGGCTGGAATTGAGGCACTGTGACTCCGGGGCCCCCTTTCAGCCTCTCTTCTACCTACCTGATTTTTCTGGCTCTGCAGATGGTCAGTGCTCATTATGGATGTGCCCAGGGCTATTCAGATGGCACATGACCTCCTGGTAAACAGGCTAAGCCCTGGAGCAGACGGACCTGCCAGGCCTCTCTCGTGGTCATGACCGTGACTGGGTTGCTTCACTGCTCTGAGCCCTGGGGCCTGGGATGGGCTTTGGGGACTGTAATGGTGCTTCCCGGAGGCATTCACAGGGTCTGACTCTTTTGTGCGCGGTGTCTGGACACAGTAAGCCCTCAGTGAAGGCAGGTGTGCTCAGGATGTTCCCGGGAGGCAGAGGGGGCGTGGGTGGAGTTGCATCCAGGGGCCCGGGGCATCCTGAAAGGAGCAGTGAGGGTGGGTGAAGTGAGCTGAGTCTGGCACTGGCTTCGTGGGGTGGCCTCCAGCTGAGGCAGGGCTCCAGGAGGCGAAACATTCCTGAGAAGTGATCGGCCTCTGGCTTCTCAGTGCCGTCATGGAAAGCAGTTTCATGGTTCCCCGGGGTGTGAACATTGAGTTATCGTAGGATCCAGCAATTCCGCTCCTAGGTTTATGTTGCTGCTGAGTTGGGCCTGTGTGCTCAGTCCTATCCAGCTCTTTGAGATCCTGTGGACTGTAGCCCGCCAGGCTCCTCTGTCCATGGGATGTTCCAGGCAAGAATACTGGAGCGGGTTGCCGTTTCCTGTTCCAGGGGATCTTCCTGACCCAGGATTGAACCTGCATCTCCTGTGTCTCCTGCATTGGCAGACTCATTCTGTACCACTGAGCCACCTGGGAAGCACTTCTAGGTTTATACCTGCAAAAGAATTGAAAATCAGAATTGAAATAAATGCGTGTACATGAATATCCATAGCAGGACCATCCATAATAGCCGAAAGGTGGAGACAACTCAGATGCCCACCAGTGGATGAATGCTAGATGGATACAAAAGGTGTGTCACATCTGTGCCGCAGAGTATTGCTCACCCATAACATAGGAATGAAGCACAGATAGACAACGCGCCACAGATGGCCTTGAAGACATGCTGCTCCTAAAAGAGACTGGACACCAAAGACCACATATTGTGTGACTCCGTTTATTTGGAAAGTCAAGAGCAGGCCAGTCCTTAGGGACAGAAATCAGACTGGTGTCAGCAGGCGCTGTGGGGGCGGGGAGTTGAGGAGGTGAGGATTAATTGCTTGGTGTGTTCGGGGTTTTCCTATGGGGATGGGAATGTTTGGGAAGTTGCTGGAGGTGGTGGTTGCCCAATGTTGTGAATGTGCTACGTGGCCCTGAATTATTCACTTTGAAATGGTTAGTTTGTGTTATGTGAATTTCACCTCAAGACATTTTTTTTTGTTTGTTCGGTTTTGGTTTTTATTGAGATAAAATTGGCATATACAATTATGTTCATTTTGGGTGTATGACACTGTGATTTGTTACACGTGTATGTTGCAAAATGATGACCACAATAAGTTTGGTTGTTTAGTTAACATCTATCCTTATCACATAGTTACATTTTATTCCCCTTGTACCTGTATATTGTAAAATGATGACCATGATAAGTTTGGTTGTTTAGTTAACATCTACCCTTATTACATAGTTACATTTTTTCCCCCTTGTACATATATACTGCAAAATGATGACCATAAAAAGTTTAGTTAACGCCTATCCCTATCAGTCAGTTCAGTTCAGTCGCTCAGTCGTGTCCGACTCTTTGTGACCCCATGAATCGCAGCACGCCAGGCCTCCCTGTCCATGACCAACTTCCGGAGCTTAACCAAACTCATGTCTATTGAGTCGGTAATGCCATCCAACCATCTCATCCTCTGTTGTCCCCTTCTCCTCCTGCCCTCAATCTTACCCAGCATCAGGGTCTTTTCAAATGAGTCAGCTCTTCACATCAGGTGGCGAAGTATTGGAGTTTCAGCTTCAATATCAGTCCTTCCAAAGAACACTAGGACTGACCTCCTTTAGGATGGACTGGTTGGATCTCCTTGCAGCAAGGAACTCTCAAGAGTCTTCTCCAACACCACAGTTCAAAAGCGTCAATTCTTCAGCGCTCAGCTTTCTTTATAGTCCAACTCTTACATCCATACATGACTACTGGAAAAACCATAGCNTTGGAACCAGTCTGTTGTTCCACGTCCAGTTCTATTCCTATACGTAGTTACAGTTTTTTCCCGTGTGATGATAACTTACAAGGTCTGTTGTCTTGGCAACTTGTAAATTTACACAATATTGTTAACTGTAGTCACCATGCTGTACATTGCAGCCCCAGGACTGACTGACCTTAAATCTGGAAATTGGTGTGTTTTAATCTCTTCCATCTATTTCACCCACCACCCCAACCCTGGCAGTGGCTAGTCTATTCTCTGTATCTACGAATTTGGGCTTTTATTATTTTTTATTGAGTTATAATTAGCATAGAATATTACTGTATTCGTTTCAGGTATAAAACATAGTGATTCAATTATGAAATGATCACAGCAAGAACAGTTAACCATCTATCCCCAAGCAAACTCATTATGGTATTATTGACCATATTCCTTATGTGTACATTACATAAATCCCCATGACTGATTTATCTTGTAGCTAGAAGTTTGTACCTCTTATCTCCTCCATCTATTTCATTTGTTTCCCCACCCCCTGCCCTCTGGCAACCACCTGTTTGTTCTCTATATCTATGGGTCTGTTTTCCTTTTGTCTTCTGGAATTCACATGTCAAGAAAATCATATGGTATTTGCTTTTCTCTCTCTGACCTTTTTTTCAGTTTGCATAATACTCTCCAGGTCCATTCATGGTGCCACAAGTGACAAGATTTCATTATTTTTATGGCTGAGTAGTATTCTGCTGGATTTTATTCACACACAGACACACACACACCATCTTTTCTTTATTCACTCAGTTCATCTGTCTATGGACACCGGTTGCTTCCATACATTGGCCATTATAATCACAGTTGCAGTGAACACAGGGATACTTATATCTTTTCAAGTTTGTGTTTTCATTTTCTTAGGGAAGTTATTCAGATATGGAATTGCTGTATTTTATTTTTAGTCTTTTGAGGAAGCTTGATACTGTTTTCCATAGTGGCTGTACCAGTTTACATCCGCACCAACAGTGCAGGAGGATTTCTCTTTTTTCTACGTCCCTGCCAACATCGTTGTTTCTTGTCTTTTTGGTGACAACTATTCTCTGCTTCCTCTTCTATTTTTGGGAATAATTGGAGAGGGAGAGGTATTAACTCTTCTTTATATATTTGGTAGAATTCACCTATGAAACCATTTGAATCTGGACTTCTGTTTGGGGAGAGTTTATTGATTACTGACTCAATTTTGTTACCAGTTATTGGTCTGTTCAGATTCTGTTTCTTCGTGGTTCACTCGTGGAAGACTGTGTGGTTCTCGGTGTTTATCCACTTCCTCTCGGTTGTCTGGTTGTTGGAATATATTCTCTCACAAGGGCTTCCCTGGTGGCTCAGATGGTAAAGAATCCGCCGGCAGTGCAGGAGACGCAGGTTTGATCCCTGGGTTGGGAAGATCCCCTGGAGAAGAAAATGGCAACCCACTCTAGCATTCTTGCCTGGGAAACCCCATGGACAGAGGAACTTGGCCGGCTACAGTCCCTGGAATGGTGAAAGAGTCGGATACGGCTTAATGACTGAACACATTCTCTAATGATCCTTTGTATTCAATAAATTGTTTTAAAAAGTGACATCAAGAAAATGGGGAAGGGACTTCTCTGGCAATCCAGTGGTTAGGACTGTGTACTTGACCGCAGGGAGCTTGGGTTTGATCCCTGGTTGGGGAACAAAGATCCCACATACCGCGTGGTGCGGCGAGAAAAACAGGGAAGAGGCAATGTCGGGTCAGATCGACACTGAGCATGAGTGTACGGTCTTCGGTCAGTGATGCCTCTCGAGTATTACCCTCTCCTGGGTGCTGTACCCGGGGCTGAGGACATGCTGGTGACCGCCCACCCACAGCTCCTACCCCCTCCAAGTGGGCTGAGAGTCATTAAAGCAGATAATCGCATGCTACCAGCTGTGTGAATTACGATTCTCTTACCAGCATCCATAATTTCACTAAAAAACAAGTTCTCGTTGCTGGGTTTTATAAATGCACAGAACTCTCGTCCCCTGCCCCTCTAAATGCTCAGTCGCTCAGTCATGTCCGACTTTCTGAGAGCCCATGGACTGTAGCCCGCCAGGCTCCTCTGTCCACGGGATTTCCCAGGCAAGAATATTGGAGTGGGTTGCATTCCCTTCTCCAGGGGATCTTCCTGAACCAGGGATCGAACCCACGTCTCCTGCGTCTCCTGTATTGGCAGGCGGATTCTTTATCACTGAGCCACCTGTGATGCCCTAAATATACAAAAGAGAATACTTTTTTTAATTTTCACATTAATGCAAGTTTAATTTGCTTTGGTAAATAAATGATTGGTTTCAGAGGAAAGAGCAAGTTGCTTTTGGTCTGGTTTTTACTAAGCTGTTAAAGCACCAGGGCAGGACAGGTGTGCTTGTCGTCTGTATGTTATCACCAGGTGTGGCTTCTTGCTTGCCACTTCTCTTCCGTGTTTCTTCCTTGTGGGGTATTTTGCCGGCATCCCCTATTCTAGAATCAGCTTGGACGAGGAGCAGTTGTGTGTGCAGGGGCTCCCACGTCACTGCCAGGGGTGGTGGGAGGTGGGCTGGGTCTGGAAGGTGCAGCCTGATGGAGGGTTCCTGGGATGCTGGGGTCTCAGGCTGCTCCATCACTGCTCCATGATCCAGTGTGGTGTTGATGGGTCAGCAGTGACGATGGAAGGCTTACAAAAAAGGGAGTGCAATGGGGACACCCCCGAATGGCTTCTCTACCCGCCCCTGCAGGCAGAAGGTCGTGGAGGGCAGTCTGACACACCCCTTTGCCCTGACGCTCTCCGGAGACACCCTGTACTGGACGGACTGGCAGACCCGCTCCATCCACGCCTGTAACAAGAGGACTGGAGACAAGAGGAAGGAGATCCTTAGCGCTCTCTACTCGCCCATGGATATTCAAGTGCTCAGCCCTGAGCGGCAGCCTTATTGTAAGTCAGGGGGTGGGTTGGGGCTGAGCGTGGGAGGCTGGTGTCTTCTCCTGGGGAGGGAGCAGACTGGGGGAGGTCCCTCTGCAGAGCTGGCATGGGGGCTGCTTTGGGCAGGGCTGTCCTCAGGGGTGGCGAAAGGATTTCCAAGGAAGGTTGCCCTGTTTTCAAGGCCCAGTGGAGGTTACATACTTACTCATATAAAATCTGCTCCAGGTCTGAGTTCTCAGTCTGGGCTCCCCATGGGGTTGTGGAGGGGTCTCTGATGGTGAAAAGCCCCTGTGACAGGCAGAGCCAGGGACTTGCATTCACCCGCTCCTTCAAGGACCACCACCTGCTTTTATGGGGACCTCCACCAGTTTCCATGTGGACCACAGAGGGTGGGGGGGTGGGTTCGGGCCTTGATGCTGTTAAAGGTCCCAACTTGGAATTTAAGAGTGGGGGGGTCCCAGGGGTGGAGTTCTCTGAAGTTGTTTTCTGGGGAGAGCTCCACGGTTCTTAAATGCAAGCTGGGTTCAACCCTTGGGTTGGGAAGATTCCCCTGGAGAAGGGAATGGCAATCCACTCCACTATTCTTGCCTGGAGAATCCCATGGATGGAGGAGCCTGGCAGGCTATATAGTCCATGGGGTTGCAAAGAGTCGGACACAACTGAGCGACTAACACTTTCAGTGTTTCATGTTTCTTGGGTCCCGTCCCATCCTGTCCTGGGCAGAGTGAGATCCTGGGAGCATTCATCAGTTGGTGCATGATGGTAGTGCCAGGGAGAGTGAAAAGCCTCGTCATCAGCATCGAGAGGCTCGGCCCCGTGTGGCCACCGAGCGCCTTTGCAGAGCCCGTGAGGTCCAAGCATGTGACAGATAAGACAGGCCTCCGCTCCAGGAGCCCCCGACCCAGGGCGCACCACTGCTAGGCGGGCAGGTCCTGGGATCCTGCCAGCGAGGGCTGGGGGTGGCCTCCACGGGGGAGGTGGCCTTGGAGGGGCCCTGATGTAGACGGGGTTTCTTGTTGTAGGAAATCGAGAGGAGGAGGGGGAGGGGCAGGGAGGATGCCCGAGGCGGGAGTGGGGGTCGAGGGTCAGTTCGGAACTGTGTCCCCCGACCCGTTTCCCGCAGATCACACGCGGTGTGAGGAGGCCAACGGCGGCTGCTCCCATCTGTGCCTGCTGTCCCCAAGGGAGCCCTTCTACGCCTGCGCCTGCCCCACGGGCGTGCAGCTTCAGGACGACGGCCAGACGTGCAAGGCAGGTGAGCCGGGGAGGGGCAGCCGCCAGCCTGGGTGTCTACCGTCTGCTTCCCTCGGGGAGGGGCTCACGCGGTCTGGGCCCCGAGCTGCTGGGACTGGGTCAGATCTGGGCTCTGCTGCCTGACGGGCGCGCTGGGGTTCCCGTCTGTAAGAGGAGGTCGTGCCAGATGGGCTGAGACCCTGCGTGCCGAGCACCCTGCCTGCTTGTGTGATCACACCCTAAAAGCCGGCCGTTGTTAACTATTAGGGNCCCCACCCCCCGCACGAGTGATATTCTTTGCTTTTGACATTTTTCTGCCTCTTTTTCTCCCCCTTGCTTGTCGCAGCCTTGCTGCTTCAAGCACTAGTGCCGTGATTGTTTGTAATGAGGTGTCACCTGTCTTGGTGCGCTGCCTGGGGGCCTCTACTACCAGGTGTGGGGTTCAGGGTGTGCTCTTCTGGAAGTGATGTGTGTCCAGGATTCAGCTTGTCCCCTGGGGACGTCCAGGCCCCAGCACAGCCGGGCAGCACCAGGGTGAACTCGGGCCAGACCAGCGAGGTGGATAGTGAGAGGTGACCGGAAGCAGCCACTCCTGGGCCAGCCCCACTTGAGGGAAAGAAAGGGAAGCCAAGGGCTTCCCTGGTGGGCTGGGGGCAGAAGGGAGGAGCAGTAGTAGAACTTGGTCCTGGATTTAAAACAAAAGTTCATGATGGCAGATCTGAAAAACGTGGCATCTGCTAGGTTCCATATACCCCCAGGTCGTTCCCACGTGCCTGCTATATGCTGGGGCTAAAGCAGGTAGTGAGCCAGGCAGGCCTATTGGCCCGCCGCTCACAGAGCACATGTGCTAATTAGGTCAGGTTGGTGGGGCACACACGTGAATAAAAGTTGTTAACAGATTTGGATCAGAGTAATGCAAGACACACGAAAGGGGCTGAGACAGAGAATATAGTCACTTACACTTTCACTCACAATGCAAGACCCACAAAAGGGGCTGTGGCAGAGAATATAGTAAGTCCCCTACATCTGAATGAGTTCCCTTCTGGGAGTGCGCTGGTAAGTCTAATTTGTTGGTAAGTCTAACAAAGTTAGCCAAGGTAACCCAACTAACACAATGGGGTATATAGTACTGTACTGTAATAGACTTATAATACTTTTCATGCAAATAATACATAAAAAGCAAACAAACATGAAACTTGAAACATTTCTTATCTTACAGTATAGTACCTTAAAAAGTACAGTAGTACGGTGCACAGCAAAAAGGGGCTGGCATTGAGTGAGCAGGCAAGACGAGTTGCTGACTGGGGGAGGGAGAGGAGGTGGGAGACGGCAGAGCTGAGGGATGGTCAGCGAGGAGACGGAGGGCCAGCTGCAGGGTCAGGCACACTTGGCGTGCGTGGCACAGGTTCTGACCCCGCAGAACCAGACGCACGTTCACATCTTTAAAGTTCGCAACTTGACGGCTTGTATGTAGGGGGCTTACTGTAATGCACAGGGGGTGGGTAGGGGGACTGACTGCCTGAGGTGGATGGCCAGAGAAGGTGCACCCCAGGAGGCACCACCTAAGCTGAGACTTAGGGACTAGCAGGGAGGAGGGGGTGGAACAGAGAGAAGGAACAGCCGGTGTGGCTGCCCTGTGGCAGGAGCCAGTTGGTGTCAGGACTGGCCTCACAGGTGTCTGATCTGTGCAGGCACGTGGAGCCCCATTGTGTGCTCCGTTGTCAACTCGAAAGCACCCTGCATTTTCACTCTGCTGTGGTCCCTGCAAGTTACGGAGCCATTTCTGCTTTGTGTACTGCAGAAACTAAAGGGAAATCTGGAATTAGTGGAGATATTTTGGTGTATCTTTCTCTGCTCTTTTGTCCACACGTGTCTATACATTTCAGTTGACAATATTGCAGGAGCATTTGCAATTACATGAGCTATGTCCCACATGGTTCAGTGGTAAAGAATCCACCTCCTGGTGCAGGAGGCGCAGGAGATGTGGGTTTGATCCTTGAGTTGGGACGATCCCCTGGAGGAGGATATGGCACCCCACTCCAGTATTATTGCTGCGAAAAGCCCATGGACAGAGGAGCCTGGTAGGGTACAGTGCATGTGGTCACAAAGAGTCGGACATGATCATGCACACATGCACGGTGCTTCAGGAGCACATGTTTTACTGCCTGAAGAATGTTTTATCAAGTGTGTAGACCTTCAAATCATCTTCCTCCTGTTGGGTATTTCTGTTCTATTTGTGTTTTTGCAATTTCCGAGTCTTGCTGCTGTGAGAGGGCTGGCTTGGGGCCTGGCCCTGGAGGTAGAAGGATCTGGATCTGCTGTCTGTTATCTGCCATTGATGGGTGCTATCTGCCTGAGCCCTGTGTTGGATCGGTTGGTGATGCCTGCTCTGGGAGAGGGAGGGGGATACAGGTATGGTTGCCATCTCCGCCCACTCCAAGTATCTAGAACCAGGCTGCATGTGGACATTTGGGGAAGGACCAGGGATGGATATGTCAACTTTAAAAAATACACAATATGAGAATTGTAGTTACGTTTTATTTGGGGCAAAATGAGGACGATAGCCCAGAGATAGCATCTCAGATAGCTGAGAAAGTGCTCCAAAGAGGTAGGGGAAAAGGTCAATATATATATGATCTTGGTGAAGGAGAAGTACATGAAATCAAGCGCATATTTTTGCAGAAGTTTTCTGCTAGTCACAAGGAACAGACGTCACATGAACAGTTGTAGGGCTTTTCTAGATATGAGGAGATATAAGAATTGGGCTCATAAAATTGGCGTCTGAAAATATCTAACCATCTGAAGACCCGTCCTGCCAGTTCCTCCTGGAGCACAGATGCCTCCGTTTCTACTCTCCACCCTGAGCTCCTTTCAGGACGTGTTGAAAGTCAGCAGCCGCAGCAGCACACAATTTAGTATTGGTAGAGGGGGATGGCAAGTGCCTATGCCACGTGCCAGTTTGCAGTTGACAGACGCAACCCCAAGAAGGTAGATCGTGCAGTTGTGCCTTCCCCAGTGGGGGCCTTGTGCAGCTGCTTTTGGTAAGGGGCCTGTGTGGCTCCTTCCTGCATCAAAGTTCCAGGAGTGGGGTGTAGGCAGAAGTGGGTTGTGAACCCTCACTGAAGCCCAGAGTCACGGCCCAGTGAAGTGGCACAGCCAGAGAAGCCTGGAGTTCCAGAGGGGACTTGACCAGACTGCCCTGGGGTCCTGTCACTCTGTGCCCCTCTTCCTTATCTGTGAGATGGCAGGGGGAGGTAGTCCTTTGAGAGGATTGTGTACCGTCTGCAGGCATCAACCACAGGGAGAGGGGTGGGAGGCTTCCTGGAGGAGGCAGTACCCGGGGCTGGAAGCTCTGTGCTGGGAGCTGACACGGATACCCACTAGAGGAACTGGGGATTAGTAGCAAAGCCTGTCTTTCCTGTCGGAAGCAAGCCCTCGGGGGTGGGGTGTGCGGGGTGTAGGGTGGGGTGGGGCTGGGGCCGATCCAGTTCCCAAAGAGCCCCTGGGAGTCAGCCACTGGGGCCACCTTTCCTGGTTTTGTCAGAACTGCCCTCTCCCCAGCTGTGAAGGACACTTTTTCAAATGACTCAGCTGGAGAATGCCAAGCTCGTGGAAGAAAAATGTTTTTGTTGTCATTCCGAGGGGCCCCTGCTTGGTTGGGATCGAGGGATGGGGCGGGGGTCTGCATAGAGGCAGACAGGACGTCACACTGAGGCCGCATCCACCCGCGTTTGCTCCACATGCGCTGACCAGGACCAGGGTCAGAGGAGGGAACAGCTCAGGGAGACAAAAGCCGTGGATGGGAGTCTTGGTTTGCATGAGAATGGGATGCCCAGGGCCCGGTTTTTAGGAGGCTGGTTCACACCCCAGTTGCTTCCCACTGACACACGGGTTCGTTCTGGGGGGTCAAGAGCGGCTTATGGAGCTCCCTCCTTGGAGTTTGTTAGAAGCTGAAGGGATCTGGGGGCAGCCGGGATGGGAAAGGGTAAATAGTTTCCTAAATGTTTTAATTGAAGTCGAGAAGCAACCCAGAAGCTTCTTAGAGCATTTCAAGGGTTTGCCCCCAAGGTGGCTTTCTGGACATTCAAGGTGGTCCTCAAACATCTCCCCACGTCGTTCACCCAGAGGAGCGTGGGCGTGAATGAGAAGGGGGTTCAGTCCCTGAGGATTCCCCTTGGGCTGTCTCGGCGACGGATGCAGTGAGTCAGAGCCTGTTCTGTGAGCAAGGACCCAGTGGGGCTGAGGGTTTCAGATGTCACAAACAGTGACGCCTCCCCTGGCGGACCGGAGGCTTCGGGACTCGGATCCCCCTGCGTCCAGTTTCTGTTCTTTGCCACAGAGTGTCGTGTTAAAGGACAAAGTTTGATGAAAAGGACGGCCCCCACCCCCGCCATGACCTGAGCGAGGTGGCTGCCTTCCCTGCTCCTGCAGTCTCCCGAGCGGCCGCATCCACTGACGTGTGTCGTTCCGCGTCCCGGTGGACGTAAATCATGTGTGGAATGTGGGTTTTGACTGCTGACGCCGTGCGGGGTATCAGCTGCAAACACTGCCTGGAGACAGAGGCTGGCAATGCGAGGGTAACATGAAGAAAACGAGGTGCTGAGCCTATTGAATGTCACTGGCGGGGCTCTGAGGATCTGACGCAGGCGCCTTGCTGGCCGGAAGGCAGCAGTGCCCGTGGAGGGCCGCCAGGGTCTTCCGAGGCTCGAGGTGTCCGGTAGGGAGGATGCAGTTTTGGGGCCAGCTAAGGAGGCCCTGGGATCACTCGGGGATCTCCTCTTGGCTGTGGAATCGGTGAGGTCCAGTGTCCCACAGGGGGTGGAGAGCCAAAGCCACATGGTGCGGGCTCTGGAGGAGCCCCGGGCTAGGGGGATGGCCCCTGGGACAGAGGGGAACGGACGCGGGCTGTGCCTTGGGCGGCTTCCGTCCAGGATAAGGTCTGTCGAAGGCAACATTCGCGGCATGTAACACGGCTTTGGTCTCCAGTTGGGAGCGTGCTGAAGACTTTTCGGGTAGCAAGGA